GCAGCGTGTGCCCTCTAATTCCTCCAAACTGTCTCTCAAAACACAATTGGACGGCGCCGATCGATCCACTTCTGCGGCTGTGTTCGCGTCTATAGTACTGGAGCGCTGTTGCAATTATAGCGCGTCGGCTCACAAGAATTTCAAGCTGGTCTGTCCCAGGGGATGAATGTAGTGCACGGCAAGTGGCGTAGCTTACCACGCGCCCGAATTGGTGTAAGATTCCTGATCCAACCTCTCATTTTTCCGGGACCGGTAACAAGGTATCCGCTTAGCTTGTCAGGATAAAAACGCTAACTTGCTCATAAGGTGACCCGGCATAAGCGGTCACGATGTAGGACAAATCATACTCCAATAGCAAGTACGATCTTGAATGGATGTAGAATGCGTGGCGCAAAAAGGGATTGATCAACTCTTAAAGGGGGGAACGGTTAGGATTCCACCACGTTACGGTCCCAGCCGCCGGAATTTTTATCATTCAGTGCCTGTCACACAGAACTGCGCTATGTGTAGTGAGATGTTGGCAAATAATTCATTCTTCGAGTACGTTTACTGTAGCTGGGTGTGGCTTCAAGAAATTTACTGTATTCAGCACAACCAATTGTAATGCACGTCAGTCCACCTCAGCCAATGTCTTCAGCGACTGTAATCAGCAGACAGTAGACACGCGTCTGTTTTTAGCTCTTAGTTTTTCATAATGGACAGAGAGAACGTCTCGAGGTCTTATTTCAGTTGTGGGCGGTGAAGTGCTGAGCTGTTATGAGTGCGTCCCTCAATCGGGACAGAACTGCCGCGATAAGGATCGTAAGTGCTCATCAAAGAAGTACTGCACGAAACAGACAGTGCAGCTCGGAGGTGAGACCAACCTCTTTCGTGATCTCGTTTATCAATAGAGCAAGTTCCTTACTCTTCAGGCGGTTTCCAAGTGGTCAAATCCTGCTCAAACATCAATATCATTGGCCAGGATAACAGCTGCGTCACGTATGACGTTGTAACCAATCCTGGAGGGGTTGCTGTTCGCAGCAAATACACCCAATGCTATTGTCGTAACAAGCAGTTCTGCAACTCGGCACCAACGTTACTGTCCGCCCTTGCTACCTTCGCTGTTGCTTCATTGCTCTTAAGATCTTGACTACTTTTAATAATTTACTGAGAATAAAAATAAATATGAATGTTGCGAAAACCATCAAATTTAATTCTTCGAACCTACGCGTGACAATTCGTATGGTATTTCTTTACAAATTAGTCTTGATTTCGCTGCGTACGCTGGGGCTTTTTAGAGGGTCTGGTTTGGAGCAGCCGGTTCACACAATTGCTGTCGTCTGCCAGTTTCCACAGTTGGTACCATTAACAGAAACTGGAGCATCGCCAACCCAGCCCTGTGAGACGCCCCCACAGGCCTGATGAGGGAAACGTTTCGATCCATTGAGCACGTGCCTCTTACAGTTCGACGCCGTCAAAAGCGACAAATGATACACCTGTTGAGTTGTTTCGACTCAATTGAGCACTGTGCCTCTTTTACAGATATAGACGCCGTCAAAGCGACAACTGGGATACACTGTTGTAGTTCATTAAGAAATTAACATGAATCAGGTACAATCAAGTTTTCTTTTCCACTTTCAAGGACAGCAAGAAAGTTTCAATGAGAATGGGTGGAAATAGGTAAAGTACTCTTGTCATACTTCGTAGAAGGCTATTAGAATTCGTACCTGAAGACACATGAAATTGGATTGACTGAGGTTCACAGCATTGTGCCTGCCTTACGAGCGCACCGCTTCTTTTGACGCGGTCATTAGGCAGGACTTGCATATGAATATGGCACAAGGGTGCGAGTCTCCGCCTAACCGGACTATCGCGGAACATGTTTCTAGGGCCCTAAGCTCAATTATTACATTTTCTTGAGCTTCGACTTTCAATATAAAATAGCAAGCTTTGGAAGGTTCTGTGCGGGATTTCAAAATAATGAAACTCCTTTTGAAAGTCTAAGGAGGATAGAAGTATTCGTTAACGAGAAATTAACAAGCTAATTATGTCTGTTACCAGTGTAGGCATTCATTGGCGAGCTTGAAAAACTCAAGAACCATTCCTGCCATTCCAGAGAACAGAAAATTAACAATTTGACCTTGAAAAAGGAGCCTGTTCGTGAACAGCAGAAACATCTTCCAGAAAAATGGCACATGACAATGCCTAGCACTCTACGATGTCTTGTAGCAAATGAATAATTTAGTCATCCTTATCACTACATGACTCGCGAGAACGACAAAGATCGCAGGCGGGGGACCTTGCTGCAAATCAGATACAACACGAGATCATTCTTAACAGCTTTTCTTCGACGGAAATACAAAGGTTGCAGGTCTTCATACACTTCCTTGCTCTGACTTGTACATAAAATGGATTTGTGCAGAACCCGTTCAAAGCATACGTACCACATCGTGGATTCCTATACAAAACCACTTCGCATAACTCTGCGTGAAACTTCAAATATAAGAAGAGAAATAAAATTTCTAGGGTAAGCGCTAGCAAGCTAGGATGGGATAAGTAGTTCAACATCTATCATCGCAATGATGTCTGAAAGCTACTTTTGAAAAATCTCCTTCTGATCCGACGAGGCAATAGCTCGTCTTGTAATATTATACTCGAAATCCCAGAGATGGGGTAGGCGTGGCCTGCTGCTTCAACTTACCTCGAGGAGTCTATGCTTCTGGTAAGATATCTTCTCTATGCTTCTGGTGAAATATCTTCATCTTGACACACTTTGTTGTCGCGGTCTTGTCCAAACGAACATGATGAGCTAGTTGCCCCAGACTGCAATATTCCACCAGTAACCAATTCCGTGCCATGTCCAAATTCCACGCCTACTCTGGCTCAGGGATAAGGAGTGCGGGTTGGCGGAAAAGTTTTCTGTCACACTTACTTTTCGAACTCAAAACACTTGCCCATTACCTGAGAGGGGTGGACCGATAATGTGAGCACTTATACATCAAGGAGTGTTCTTTCTATTAGTACCACTCGCTTGACTCCTGCTCTTCTTCTTCTTCTGCAATATGGACAAGGATTTTATCCGCTACCATCGGCACTGACCCCTCCAAGCGCTTCCTCAAACTCTTTCTTCCACCATCCTGACGCCAGCATGATAGCTGCAATGCCAAAATAATGGAGTGAATAAGGACGATGCCCTCAATTATTGGACAACGTTTTCACGACGCTAATGCTTCAAAGCGGGAGCCTACAGTTCTGATGACGGAGTGAGGTTTGGGTTACCTGCGAACACGATTTAGGCCCGGAGCTGACGGGTCGTGGAAACTGCTGTCGGTTGAAGAAGCTGCTCCCTCGGTTAATGCGTACGCAAAGTAGCTACGAGATCTGAAGCGAACCATCGATCACAGGGAAAAATTCGTCCACATAGTCCGTTTTCAACGTGACAGTGTAGCTACTCCGTCCAAAAAAATGCGAGCCGTACCTCATACAATAGAGCTGGATCGCTCTCCCCTTGCACTGGTGCAGCATAGACATTGCTCCGTCTAACTGCGAGTTGCCTCCCGTACTCGACCGTTGTATGGACAAGAAAACCTCCACAACCAGAGCCCAATTCAAAATTGAGATGTTGTCCAACTTTGCGTCGCGCTGGCCTGCATTGTTAAGGCTGTGGCATCATGAGGTGCTCAAGAACCCCGCAGTAACATTGCTGTATAATTTTGATCTTACACGCCTCTCTATAAAAAGAAAGCGTAATTTGAAAAAAATGTGACAGAACTTTCCCTGCAACCTAATAGAAAGTCCGCAACACCAATGAACTTACAGCTCCGTAGCTTTACATAACTACTGCACCATTGGAAGCGCACGGCAGGGGGCGGCTACATGGGGCTCACAATTTATCGTGATTTTCCCCCAGGAAGCTAACGTGTCAGGGGCTGGGTTCGGTGCTGCACACCCTGTTTCCACCAGTTGCTGACGCTTGTCCGCTTCTACAGCCGTAAAGAGCGGGCTTGCATCGTGCCGAACCTCCGAAAACGACTGTTCACGCCTTTCTACTTCGGGACATGGTCCTAAACTTAAAGTACTACAGTTACGCGCCAGAAGAAGCTTGCGAGCAGTTCTGATGAGGCAGCAGTGTAAAGGCAAGAGTAGTGGGGAACAAGTGACCAGGCTATCCGAGTCGCTCAATCCCTTTTTAGGCTACGTCAACATTCTACTTTCGTTCGAAATCATTGTGGATTAGTGAATGCGGGACCTTTACAACGGATTGCAGGGAAGCCGAACACATCAATGCACAGCCAACCCTTTTTGTTTTCCCGCACAAGCAGTGTTTGCTTATCCAAAGAAACGGAAGGCATGGGTGTCTCGTGCATGATCCCAGGCTCCCGTGCTAAGCGGTATCACTTGCCAGTGTGCCACCTCCGTCGAGGAGTGGAAGGCATGGAGGAGAATAAATGAGGTAGTTTCACCTCGAGCAGCGCGTAGACAAAATGTTGCCGCACCTTCCCTATTCACTAGCGCCTTCATCCGAACACCCAGGTTTTCGCAATGTTCTCTCACATTTCCCCAAACCAGAT